AGATATCCACTAATAGTGACTTGTAGTTGGTAATCCCGAGTTTCATTCCTCCCCCTGGTGTCATTTAGTGGATCCAGACCCCCCCCCCTCCCCCCCCCCCCCCCCCCACCCATGACTCTCAGATCATACCTTGTGTAATAATTATTATCATTATTATTTATTATGCCTTGTGTGTGTATATCTGAGACTGATCTGTCCGGCTGATGGATGTTCAATAGTGAAACGACTTCTACCTGAATCCTCAACACCACTGAACATACTTCCAAAGAACAAATTCAAATGACTGCGGATATCAGTCCTGTCCCACCTCCCGCTCCGCTTCACCTGCGGGGTAGTATTTTAAGCAGGTGATGTGACGCGGGTTAAATGGAGTAAACCCAGACATACAGTCATTATTTTCTGATGTGGAACTAATTGGTGAATGCGAATTCATATGGACGACGAGTCGAGAAAACAACAGTTAGTTTGGACGGCGGGCGGGCGGGGGGCGCTTGGGGACATTTCTGGCTAAAGGCTCCTCCAGAGGGAGGATTCCTGCTGTTGATGGGCACGGGTGAGACAGACCGTGGACAAGGTGGAGGAGGGGAGCACATAGATTACTATTATTACTCTCTTTGGTGAACTTGGGCAGGGAAAGCGGATTCTCTCTATCCTTGGGCATCGCGAGGGAGGATGGAGAATGCCCTCACTCCCGGCGCCTGAGCACAAGGGAAGGGATTGAGGTTACTCACTAACCCGGGACATGGGACGGGATGGGGGGGAAAGCGGGTTCATCGCTAAAGAATAGTCAGCGTATGGAGAGCAAAAGGCGCAGCTGACTCCGTGTACGGGGAGAGAGAGCTCCGGTAGCTGCTATGGCTGAGCACGGGGGGGAGAAAGCGCTGATAGGTATAGCTCAGTACAGAGGGGAGGAGCTGATAGCTGTAAACGCTGGGTACAGAGGGAGGGAGATGATAGCAGGGTACAGAGGGAGAGATCTGGGTACAGAGGGAGAGATCTGGGTACAGAGGGAGAGATCTGGGTACAGAGGGAGAGATCTGGGTACAGAGGGAGAGAGATGATAGCAGGGTACAGAGGGAGAGATCTGGGTACAGAGGGAGATATCTGGGTACAGAGGGAGATATCTGGGTACAGAGGGAGATCGCTGGGTACAGAGGGAGATATCTGGGTACAGAGGGAGATATCTGGGTACAGAGGGAGATCGCTGGGTACAGGGAGGAGAGATGGAATCGTCATTAGTGGACAAGAAGGTTTATTGCAGATATTATTTTGAGCATGGGTCGAGGGAAAGTGCCACTATTGTGTACAGAGTTCCTGCGTTTAAAAATAGGAACTCTGGGGATTACCTGAGCGTAATTTAATATTTATGTCATTATTAGAACAATTAATATTTCATTTTTCAAACGTTCAATCCGGAGTTTAAGTTTTACAACAAGAATAACAACAACTACTTGCATTTATATAGTGCCCCCAGGCGCAGGATAGCGTGTCAGAGCCCTCATTCAGCGAACTATTAACATAATTCAAGTGAATAATGCATTCTAAACTTTCTAGAATATAACTAGTGTCACAACACATTTAGATACACATTGCCATTGGAGTTTAGCGTTTTTGCAGTAATTATTATTATTATTTCATTAATTATTATGTGGTGTCAGAACCCTGACCGGCTCTTCACTTCACTAATGCACACTTCAATTTACACTTACTCAACCAGGGTTAACAGCGCTATTTATATTTATGCCATTTGCGTAGGATTGCTTTACTTCAGAACATTCAGCTGGAGTAACAAGTGTGAAATTGTTGCTGGGCGTAGCACTTTCCCAGTACAGTAAAGCCGAACTCTCTAATAGGTCCCGCAAAGGGTGAGAGCGGGGTTTAATTATAAAATCTTGATACTGGGAATAGGCTTAAGCAGTAATCCTTTCTAATAAAGTCTGTGGTGTAAATTAACTGGAAGTCGTCAGGGGTCTTCTACAGGAGCCATGGGCTGTATGCAATGCCAGATCATTGCAGATGGCTCCTGTGTTCTCGTTGTAATTGAATGTCTCATCGTGATTGAAAAATGTTATTTCTCTCCTGTATTCCATGTTAATGCATTAAGGGCACAGTGAGACGGCAAGGAACACGAGATGGCGATTCCATCCATTTCTGAAAGAGCTTGGGGAAATCAAGGCGGTTTTGTGTCTATCTGCTGACCATCTGCAAACACAATATATTGTAGAGTGGGAATAGAGGGCAAATACTGCTCTAATCTCACATGAGAATCGCCTGCTATTGTCGAGGTGGCATACATTAAGATTGATGAGAGATTAAAGACTACCCAGGTCTGAACAATCAATGGAAATGACAATTAATTTGGAATTTTTTTTGGCAATTACTCATAGACTGATTGCCTTGGCCATTTCGCGCATGGACCTCATTTGATATCTTACACATTTCTAAACTAAAACTAAACTACATTAGAAACGTATCTTTAGAGAGTTGGAAAGCGCTGCGCCTCTGGGATCCACACACGCCATTCCACGGAGTACAACGGGAAGGTGTTTTTGTACATTCATATCGGGTCTGTTTGTGGCTTATAAGTGCTGATTTCATTCCACAAAACGCTGCCATTGACATACACGACGTGAAAAACAAACCTGGTCACGATCGTACATTGGCCTACTATAATATTTTGTATTAATATTTATTGATATTTTGGAGCGTAGCACGGTGCGTTAGACTATATTGTGTGTATCATAATATTTAGCCATGTCTTTGCCACTTATGTAGTTCTATGGACATTATAGGTTTTATGATTCCGTGTTTCGAAACCCATCAGATAAACCTCTGTGTATTTTACAGGCATTGTGTTTCCCAGTGCTTCCGCTGTGAGTGGTATTCCTTCTGTATAAATCCCCCTGTACTTAGTAATTATTACAATGAAGTGCATCCAGCTGGAAACCAAACTGGGCAGCTGTGAAATGCGCATTCCTAGTCTCACAAAACAACAGCAATTCCCATTAAAAAGAAGTTTAAATATTATATATACTATATATAGTGTATATGTTATATATACATATAATTCCGAGGTTAGCACAAGTTAAAAGCTAATACAAAAATGGTTGTTGTTCGAATTCCAATTTTTTCCTTGTTTTGACAATTTTGAACAACGCCCTAAATAAGTGTATAATTTGGTAAATGCAGTGTAGGACTGTGCTTGCATTTAGTTCAAATGAATGGAATGACTATTTGGCCAATACATCCTACAGGCTATTGCATGGAAATTCAGAAATAACACAAATTGGAACTAAGGTCACTGTTAATTTTTAAAAAAATGAAATTTGAAGTTATAAATAAAACGCCTCGGTCCGTACTAAAATCAAACGTTATTTTTTTAAAAAAATATTATGAATACTACGGTCCTACTAGTAACATAGCAGCTTAATTTTCAGCCGTGTGTTTTTGGGGGGCAATACTTTTCCTACTCTCTCTTTTCTCTATTTTCGCAGTATCTGATTTTTGGCGAGTCTTTCTTTTGCTCGATCTTAACGAAAATGTAAAAAAAAAAAAAAAGTTGTTAGTAAGTCGCCCTTTATCCTGTTCCAGGACCGGTGAATTTCACCACTGCTGTCCAGCTCATCGCCCCGGTGGTGGTTGCTAAGGGAACCTTGTCAATCACGTCCTCAGAGCTTTACTTCGAGGTGGACGAGGAAGATCCCAGTTATAAAAAACTAGATCCCAAGGTAAGGCAACGCTGATGCATCGGACTCTGAATTTAATGACGACTCTTTTAAGTGCACCAGATTTTAACCCCAGCGCAGAAACTGCACTGACCGCACAAACACTATCGTGTTTTCATACGATGGAGGGCAAAGACTCATGACGTTGAATACAATGCCACAGCAGAGCAGTGCTATCCTACACACAGTTGCTGGAAAGCAAAATCACGAATGGGATTATAATATAGTTGACATAATTATGTACAATTTAAATAAAATGCAAATCCTATAACAATTGCAATTCGGTTCCCTAAAGTACGCCCAGCGTGCCAGTATGATTCAGTCCTGCACGCGAAATATACTGCTTTTGACATTGAGATGAGATAGCCACTTGCGTTTCTGCTCTGGAGTCTCTTTATAAGAGATTTTTTTTCTCTCGCCTCCTTTCATGACCGAAGTCTTCATATATTAAATCGCATTTTGAAACAGCGTTACGCACGGTACGAAGTTTTATCGAGTGTGGTGGTGTTTATGGAGGTTTCCTTTTTTTACAAAGGTGGAGTATTAATTATGAACGCAAAATGTATTTCCCACAGCCAAGAGGAAAATAAATCTGGAAGGTTAATATCTGCCCCAATCTCGCACACAATCAGCAAATTCCCATTCTTTCAGACGCCCTAAATCGTAGGGCGGTTCTTTTGTTTTTATTTCCTCCTCAGACACCAACACCAGCTGTTTGTTTGGCCGATAAAACATTTGTTGATGCCTTCTGCGTGTTCCAGTAAATGAGCAGACTGTTTTCCATGATTGTGGTTACTTAAATGCAAGGATTATTATTGTTCCGCGCCCCTGTTCATATTTACATATTAGCAGCCGTAACAATATTTTTGCTCCTGAAGTCGTTAATTAATTGTATTTCAAATCATTTCGACTCAATTTGAATGCTGTTGTGCAATTACGGAAGTCCTGAGAGAATTATTCAGATGCATTAATAATTGGTACATTATAGCCACTGAAATCTGCCAACAAATCAGAGCCATCTGAATATTTCACCAGATAATTCTGTCATTGACGGGCGTTTAGCTGACATTTTTATCCACCGAGGTGGTGCATTCTCTCGGCTTTGGATGGCGATGGTTGGGTTTGAAGCTGCACTTTACTCCCAGATATAACAATGAGCTGCTACTCCCTTGGTTTTGTGATTGAATTGTATTGATATTGTTGACTAGCGCTGAAATACTGGTCAGGTTCAGAGTGGTTTCCCGCCTTGTTAAGGGGAATGATGAGACTAGTGTACTGAACTGCTTTATGTGAAGCATTATCGCGTTTGCCTTTGAACCATGTTACCATTTTATACCATCTCACCATAGATACGTATATATGTATGTTTTACAGTTCAGATTAACTATGCAAAAGCATAATTAACTGCTGTGCTCTCGGCTCTGTGGGTGTAAGACAATAAGGTTTGACAAACGCTATTTGGTAATCCACAACACTGCAATTCTTCGATATGAATAGACGCGTCCGTTTAGCAAAAAAGGCACATTATTTTTTAACAATATCCTTAATTATTTGTACAGTGCCCGTCTCGAGTGTCAAAAGACCACATTGAGAGACGAGCCCGATTTGCGATGATGTATTGGAGGGGATTCTGCCAGTTTATATCTGGATGCTCAGCTTCTTATACAATACGATGAGGTGGAATTAACGCGTCACAGCAAAATGTTGTCAAAAGTTGATCTTACGATAAGTTTAAAAAGTATTGATTCTACAAGTTTTAAAGGATCCATATTTTCTGCTAAATCATCACTGTTGGTGCCTGACATCCTTCCGATTTCGGGAGTTATAAAAGGACATAGCGCAGTGACTGAAAGGAATGGGAAGTGAATTCATAGATGTGTGTGAAACAGTGCGATCAAACTTTATCCCCTTTCCTGCATAAGATCAAGAAAGGTATGTGGCCCTCTGAGAACCACGACAATATATCCAACTACTTACTGTATATAGTTTTTTTAAAAAATATATATCCTGGCAACGTTAGAATATTTTGAAATTAAAATTTGAAATCGCCAATAAAATGGAATACAGTACTACAACTGCGGGTTGTGATTCCCATTAGTTGGGGCCCAAATCTCATTTAGATTTTAGTCCGTATTTGTGTTAAAATAATACTTCTGAGTATCAAACAAACGTTTAAAGATTTTAGCCCGGAAATTGCAATGCGATTTTCTATCGCCCTGATAGTCTTTATTTCCCCCCTCAAATAATGTATCAGTATTTTCTCTGTTCACAATGCATTTTGTTTTATGAGAAGCCCGTGAGTGTGTAATACCGAATCACCAACCGACGTTACGAACGAGATGAAAATATCGTAATATTCAATTCAGTCAATTCGGGATTAAGTATCTGTCCGGGGTGGAAGCGGATAAAATTAAATTAGAAGGAATATAAATCTCCTTAAAAGCTTATTCCTAAAGCAGTGATCTCCTTTCCCTCTTTGCCCACAGTGCATAAGCTGTTTAGTTTTGAGCGATTTTGTAAGGAGTGGCTGTTGTTTGTCCTTAACACCAGAAACCAAAACAGCCTGACAAGCTCTTACCAGATTTGAGGCTCTGATAAGATCTGCTGATAACCCTGGGCTTCACACTTACACCAATTTGACTTTAACCCGACAGTAGCTGGAGAGCTGAAAGCTGACGAGCTGGTCTGAAGCCTGTTGAATGTCCCCTCGCAAACCCTCGATTTTTTTTAAAAAAATCATAGTTCGGATATATTTCAAGGACTAATCCCGAATTGACTTGAGTTCACTTGAACCTTCCGTTAGGTATATCGTTCTTTAAAAACCGATAACCTTCCTGACTCGGTACAATCCCAGTGACCTGTGAGAGTGACTATTTTGCTAATATTAAATAACATTTGAACTGCTATCCATTCAATCAATCCAGGTTGCTGTAGTTAATATATATATAATTTTAGCTTGAGGTTTGTTTTAATTTTTTTAAAAAAACATGTCTCTGTTTTAGAATCTATTTGGAGGGTTTTTCCAAACAGAGATATTCCACAATGTGAGGTGGTCACAAAATATTAAGGCAGCATTTAAAATCCCAATTCGAATATAGATTTGAAAATTGCGATAGTTTCTGTTTATCTGATAACCAAAAATGTGATGTTAAAATCGAAACTTTTCTTTTCATTAATGAATTACTACTAAAATCATGATATCTCTGTTTGTATCTTTTTATATCTCTGGTTTGTCAGAATTGGGGTGGGCTCGTATGTAACTTCAACGCGGTGATGTAGGGAGATTTCCACAGTAGATGCTAAAGTTCAGAGTAGTGTTCCCTCTCACTAAGAGGTACCCCTACAGATATAAGTGGAGCTGTAACACTAAACAAAAACACTGAGTTTCCAGTCATATCAAAACTCCATATTCTGAACCCTCCTCGAGCTCTGTCATCTACATCGGATGAAAATAACCCACAAGGAGTACACGATTGCTCTGTAGCCGCCACATACTTGATTTGGATGTGGTCCCGGTGGCCTATCGGCCGCAGTGATTCCGGGCCTTCCCGGATGCCATTGTTGGTGACTGTTTTATTGTTAGGCTACAGTTGGAGCTGCCCTGTCCCCCATCTTCCCTTGTAAACCAGAGCACATAGCGGTGCCCTGTTCGGGTTATCGAGAGCTGCTGCTGTCTGCATCCGAGGTTGGATTTTGCGGATGTATTATGTTTTAGGCCCTAATCGGCCGTTTTGACTTTCTTCCACTTTTTTCTTTTTTTTTAAAAAAAACCTTTTTTTTAAAAAAAAAGGCTTAGAACCCATTCACACCATTGCACGTGAGACAGAGAAAGTTTAGTTTCGCCCCAAATGCATCGATATATTTACTGGAGGTCACCTGAAATCTTGACTATTTTTCAAAGAAATTCTTCAGTAATAACCCGACTAATGTTTCATTTTTCGGCGACTCGACGTTTTAGGAAGTGATTTTCCCTGTCAGTGAGATGCCGAGGTGTCTGAAATATTTTGAAATAAGTCGACGCAGCTTCTGACCAGACTTTAAAGGAGTAAACACGACAACAGATAAAATAGTTTATATGTAGAGTTTGAATTATTTGAAGTTACGTTATTTTTTAAAAAAAATATTGCAAAAAGGATAACTAATAACCCATGAAACGAGATGAAAGGGAACTGGAACTGGACCCATGACATTTACTGTTTAAAATACTGAAGTTATTTTGAATTGTGTTTTTTTTTGTTGACCCTTTGCACAAATACAAGCGATGCTTTTACTTGTAAATTTCTTCTTACGGCGCCGGGGGAATTGAGCATATAAATACGTTTTATGATTCATTTAAAATGCATTGCATCGCAATGTTAAACTCGAATTTGCCAAGCAGCGATCTAACCAAACTAACTCGCTCACATGTAAATTAACTGACAAAAAGTGCAGTAAGGTAAATAATTTTATTACCATTATTACACGTCTTTTTCAGGGGCACAGAATCTGGAATTGGCACGCAAAATACATTTCACAACAGAAATTGCCTTGGCCTTTAAAAGACTGCATACTTAAATAAAGATTCCTCGCAGGCTGACAACATCCAAAACAAGTTTGTCGGTTACATTTACCGTAGTTTAAAATGTACCTTAGATCTGTTTCACGCCAAAGTCCGTTTGCTTCTCTTAAAGCCTCTGTTTAATTATTAATAAGTTCACACCGTGTGCCTTGCGCTAATTGCTGAATAAGTTTGCAGGGATCACAAGTTTTACTATAGCTTGTCGAGGCTCTTTGCGTTGGTAAGAATTTCTCTCGCCAATCGCCAAGTCTGTTTCGCTGCGCTTTCCAGGGCCGAATGGGGCTTTCCTTGGAAAAGATCGAGGTTAGGGAGAAAGTAATGAGGACACCTCCGGCACTGGAGGCAGGAGATGAGCTGGAGGAGGATGCCGTTCAGCCTGTCGCCGAGGCACGACTCGTCCCAGTCGGTTTCTCTCGGGTGTTTCTCGCACTCGTAGAGCAGCAGTGTCTTCATGTGGTAGTTATTGAGCGGCTGCCCCGGCAATTCCAGATGCCGATCGCGCAGAGTCTTTAAAACCGAGAGGCACTTTTTCCTGCAGCCCGCCATCAGCAGCCTGTTCTCAGCTTCGCCGAACTGTAAAACCCAGGCATCGCTCTCGGCAGAGCTCTGCTTGCCTGTCAGGGAGTAGCACTCCTTGGAGAGCAGGTTGAAGCCTTCTGCCTTGACCTCAGCCACTCGATTGGGTCCTGGCCACGGGATGTGCGGCATGGGCCACTGAGCCGCGCTCCTGGGCCAGATGCCTGTGCACTTGAAGGCTGGGGTGATCTGCACCACGTAGCGCTCCCTGATCCTCAGCCTCACCTCACTCGTATCCGCTACCATCTTCACTACATCCCGATAACTGCATTTGTCCACTGCCTGTGCCACCAGGGTCTGAAACCTGGAGCGGATCTTTCTGGCTGACAGGTAGCCCGATGCTGTGATGAATTCGACCCAAAGGGACATGCTCCTCTTGCGGCCGTCGCTCAGTTTGAGCACGGCACAGCCAGGCAGCGAGCCATCGTCCACGAAGTTGAACACCCCCATTTGGTTCAGGTACAGGACCACCTCAAACTCTGTGGGGGCGATCACCTCCAACCCTTCGAAGCGCGTCTCGATCTCGCTAAGAGAACTGATGAAGCGGGGTTCTTGGACTTCCACTTCTTTGAGGACATCGGAAACTACTTTGCACACTTCCCGAATGGTCTTTGCGATCGCGGCTTTCCGAGCTTGGCACCGCTCGTTGTAGTACTTGTTCAGCTGGTAGACCAGCTTGGCTTGAGCCGCGATCATGTTGGGACAGTGGTCCGGGCTGTACACCGGAATCTCGTTGTACGTTGACGGATCCAATGCTTACGGGTGTTCAGTGGGCAGCCACTATTTAGATGGAGACCTGAAACGTGTGCATTGGACCTAAATGGTTCAGAGAGAGAGAGAGAGAGAGAGGAGAGAGGGAAGGAGAGGGAGGCAAATCGAAATGACAACCTGAGACCTCCTTAGCTGCCAGCAATTCTTCAAATAAGATGCCTTTTTTTTTTAAAGTAGTGGCATTTGTCGCTGTTTTGAAACGTAAAATGTAAATGACCAAAGTTGGCTCTTATCTTTCATCTCCCTCCCTCCCTCCCTCCCTCCCTCTCCCTCTCTCTCTCTGCCTGTGATTCTCAGTGTTTTTATTGCTATGACCACTTTTGCCCACGCTCAGGAAGTGTGTAAGAGTTTAGTTTATGAATGGTCCCCTGCCAGCCGCGCAGGCGCTCTGGGCGCCGGGAGGCCGGACCACCCCCCCCCCCCCACACACAGACGTGCGGCGGCGGCGGCCCAATCACAGGGCAGGCTGCCGCCCGGGGACCAATCACAAGGCAGGCTGCCGGCCGAGGACCAATCACAAGGCAGGTTGCCGCCCGGGGACCAATCACAGGGCAGGCTGCCGCCCGGGGACCAATGAGCGCCGGCGGGGCCGCAGATTGGACACAGAGGGTTAAACAGCAGCAGAGGCTGAGCTGCCACATCGCCGGCTGGCGGCCCCCTGTCTCACTCCCTCCCTCCCTCCCTCACCCACCCACTCACCCACCCAGTCACTCCCTCTCTCACCCACCCACCCAGTCACTCCCTCTCTCACCCACCCACCCAGTCACTCCCTCTCTCACCCACCCACTCACTCCCTCACCCACCCACCCAGTCACTCCCTCCCTCACCCACCCACTCACTCCCTCACCCACCCACCCAGTCACTCCCTCCCTCACCCACCCACTCACTCCCTCACCCACCCACCCACCCAGTCACTCCCTCACCCACCCACCCACCCAGTCACTCCCTCCCTCACCCACCCACCCACCCAGTCACTCCCTCACCCACCTACCCACCCAGTCACTCCCTCACCCACCCACCCAGTCACTCCCTCACCCACCCACCCACCCAGTCACTCCCTCACCCACCCACCCACCCAGTCACTCCCTCCCTCACCCACCCACCCAGTCACTCCCTCACCCACCCACCCAGTCACTCCCTCACCCACCCACCCAGTCACTCCCTCACCCACCCACTCACCCAGTCACTCCCTCAACCACCCACCCACCCAGTCACTCCCTCCCTCACCCACCCACCCAGTCACTCCCTCACCCACCCAGTCACTCCCTCCCTCACCCACCCACCCAGTCACTCCCTCACCCACCCACCCAGTCACTCCCTCACCCACCCACCCAGTCACTCCCTCACCCACCCACCCAGTCACTCCCTCACCCACCCACCCAGTCACTCCCTCACCCACCCACCCAGTCACTCCCTCACCCACCCACCCAGTCACTCCCTCACCTGCCCACCCACCCAGTCACTCCCTCACCCACCCACCCAGTCACTCCCTCCCTCACCCACCCACCCAGTCACTCCCTCACCCACCCACCCAGTCACTCCCTCACCCACCCAGCCAGTCACTCCCTCCCTCACCCACCCAGTCACTCCCTCACCCACCCACCCAGTCACTCCCTCACCCACCCAGCCAGTCACTCCCTCCCTCACCCACCCAGTCACTCCCTCACCCACCCACCCAGTCACTCCCTCACCCACCCACCCAGTCACTCCCTCCCTCACCCACCCAGTCACTCCCTCACCCGCCCACCCAGTCACTCCCTCACCCACCCACCCACCCAGTCACTCCCTCAGCCACCCACCCACCCAGTCACTCCCTCCCTCACCCACCCACCCAGTCACTCCCTCACCCGCCCACCCAGTCACTCCCTCACCCACCCACCCAGTCACTCCCTCACCCACCCACTCACCCAGTCACTCCCTCAACCACCCACCCACCCAGTCACTCCCTCCCTCACCCACCCACCCAGTCACTCCCTCACCCACCCAGTCACTCCCTCCCTCACCCACCCACCCAGTCACTCCCTCACCCACCCACCCAGTCACTCCCTCACCCACCCACCCAGTCACTCCCTCACCCACCCACCCAGTCACTCCCTCACCCACCCACCCAGTCACTCCCTCACCCACCCACCCAGTCACTCCCTCACCCACCCACCCAGTCACTCCCTCACCTGCCCACCCACCCAGTCACTCCCTCACCCACCCACCCAGTCACTCCCTCCCTCACCCACCCACCCAGTCACTCCCTCACCCACCCACCCAGTCACTCCCTCACCCACCCAGCCAGTCACTCCCTCCCTCACCCACCCAGTCACTCCCTCACCCACCCACCCAGTCACTCCCTCACCCACGCAGCCAGTCACTCCCTCCCTCACCCACCCAGTCACTCCCTCACCCACCCACCCAGTCACTCCCTCACCCACCCACCCAGTCACTCCCTCCCTCACCCACCCAGTCACTCCCTCACCCGCCCACCCAGTCACTCCCTCCCTCACCCACCCAGTCACTCCCTCCCTCACCCACCCAGTCACTCCCTCCCTCACCCACCCAGTCACTCCCTCACCCGCCCACCCAGTCACTCCCTCCCTCACCCACCCACTCACCCAGTCACTCCCTCACCCGCCCACCCAGTCACCCAGTCACTCCCTCACCCACCCGCCCACCCAGTCACTCCCTCCCTCACCCACCCAGTCACTCCCCCACCCACCCAGTCACTCCCTCACCCGCCCACCCAGTCACTCCCTCCCTCACCCACCCAGTCACTCCCTCCCTCACCCGCCCACCCAGTCACTCCCTCCCTCACCCACCCAGTCACTCCCCCACCCACCCAGTCACTCCCTCACCCGCCCACCCAGTCACTCCCTCCCTCACCCACCCACTCACCCAGTCACTCCCTCCCTCACCCACCCACCCAGTCACTCCCCCACCCACCCAGTCACTCCCTCACCCGCCCACCCAGTCACTCCCCCCCTCACCCGCCCACCCAGTCACTCCCCCCTCACCCGCCCACCCAGTCACTCCCTCACCCACCCAACCAGTCACTCACCCAGTCACTCCCTCCCTCACCCAGTCACTCCCTCACCCACCCACCCACCCAGTCACTCCCTCCCTCACCCACCCAGTCACTCCCTCCCTCACTCACCCAGTCACTCCCTCACCCGCCCACCCAGTCACTCCCTCCCTCACCCACCCACTCACCCAGTCACTCCCTCACCCGCCCACCCAGTCACTCCCTCACCCGCCCACCCAGTCACTCCCTCCCTCACCCACCCACCCAGTCACTCCCTCCCTCACCCACCCAGTCACTCCCTCCCTCACCCACCCAGTCACTCCCTCACCCGCCCACCCAGTCACTCCCTCCCTCACCCACCCAGTCACTCCCTCACCCACCCACCCAGTCACTCCCTCACCCACCCACCCAGTCACTCCCTCACCCACCCACCCAGTCACTCCCTCACCCACCCAGTCACTCCCTCACCCACCCAGTCACTCCCTCACCCACCCACCCAGTCACTCCCTCCCTCCCTCACCCACCCACCCAGTCACTCCCTCCCTCACCCACCCACCCAGTCACTCCCTCCCTGACCCACCCACCCAGTCACTCCCTCCCTCACCCACCCAGTCACTCCCTCACCCACCCACCCAGTCACTCCCTCCCTCCCTCACCCACCCACCCAGTCACTCCCTCACCCACCCACCCAGTCACTCCCTCCCTCACCCACCCAGTCACTCCCTCCCTCACCCACCCAGTCACTCCCTCCCTCACCCACCCAGTCACTCCCTCCCTCACCCACCCAGTCACTCCCTCACCCACCCACCCAGTCACTCCCTCACCCACCCACCCAGTCACTCCCTCACCCGCCCACCCAGTCACTCCCTCACCCACCCACCCAGTCACTCTCTCCCTCACCCACCCACCCAGTCACTCTCTCCCTCACCCACCCACCCACCCACCCAGTCACTCTCTCCCTCACCCACCCACCCAGTCACTCTCTCCCTCACCCACCCACCCACCCAGTCACTCTCTCCCTCACCCACCCACCCAGTCACTCCCTCACCCACCCACCCAGTCACTCCCTCCCTCCCTCACCCAGTCACTCTCCCAGTCACTCCCTCCCTCACCCACCCAATCACTCCCTCACCCACCCACCCACCCAGTCACTCCCTCCCTCCCTCACCCACCCAGTCACTCCCTCACTCACTCTCTCATTGTCTCATCTACTCACTCACTCACTCCTTCATCCACTCACTCTCTCTCACACTCATCCAGTCACTCCTTAATTCATTCACTCCATCACTCTCTCTCTCTCTCTCTCTCACTCACTCACTCACTTACTCACTGGCTCGCTCCACATCTGTTCTCTCACCCTTGTGGCCGACCGTCGTTTCTCACGCACAACGGTTATGTTTATTGCCCCCCTCCCACCCCCACTCTCTGGAGCTCTATCCCCGAGTCCCCCAACTCTCACCCCCTTCATCTCATTCAAGCTCCGTCTCAAGACCTGCCTCTTTGATGACCCCCGTCTCCTTCCCCGTCCCCTGAAACCCCCTCGGCTCGCACCTCCGGCTTGGATGCCAGGCCGGGACTGTCGGGTGCTGCGGGACCTGCTCCAGACCCCAGAGGTGCTATAGAAATGTAAATGTGTACTGTGTTCTTTGCAGCAGTGCATCTTTACTGAATATAAATTGTTGCATTACATCCAAGTCTCGATATGTGATTTTGAATGGTGATTTATTTCGTATAAACCTACCCCCCCCCCCAAAAAAAAAAAATAATAATCCCACATACCTGCGAGCAGCTTCCACTAACTGTCCATTTAATGCCACTCATCTTTTTCTCTCTCTCTCTCTCTCTCTCGCCACATATTCGAATGGGAGACCGCGCTCGGGGTCCAGTTCCGCTCACTCTCGCTCCGCATCTCCCAAATGAAACGGAATCAAATGAAATCTCCAAATTTTACAAATGAAAACAATTGACGCAATTTTTCAAACGGATTTCAGCGAAGTTATTTTCCGATGCAACTGGAACAAGAGGCGTTGAAGTGCCTCGGCCCGTTTTTTTTTTCTCCCCACCCCCCCCTCATCCCCCCCCACCCAGCTCCCCCCCCACCCCCTCCCCTCCCCCGCGACTGATCTCTTATCGACCAGGGGTAGGGGGGGCGTGCGCTTGGTGTTTCCCTGGGCTGGGGGTGTGGGGGGGGGGGGGGGGCTGTGTGGGAGGGGGGTAGGGCTGGGGGTGTGTGGGGTGGGGGGGGGTAGGGCTGGGGGTGTGTGGGGGGGGGTAGGGCTGGGGGGTGTGGGGGGTGTGGGGGTGTGTGGGGGGTGGGGGGTAAGGCTGGGGGGCTGTGTGGGGGGGGTAGGGCTGTGGGG